CTTAATTATCTTTTCGTAGCTGGCTACTGTCGTGCTGTACATTATTACAAGACGCCATCCTTAATATACCTTCCCCCAATTGAGACCTCAGTGAAGCGACTGAATCCTAAATTTCCAATTTCAATGTGCCTCGATATTATTTCTGAACGTATAGATTTTACCACTAACTTCTGTTTATTCAGCAGTGTTATCAAACCAGCACACTACAGTAAACTATCAGTGTTACAAATATAACTCTGTATAACCCAATGATAAAGACAACGTAAAATATATTTGAGTATTCGTATCAAATCAATATTAAAATTTTTTTTTTGAAAAGTAACTGTATTCCCGTCCACCGTATGACTACCACTACTCACCGTTTACATATCATAACCCAAACAAAATAGCAATATCTATATCAACAAATAAATCCGTCCCATGCTTTTCAAATAATGCAGGCAAACACTCACGCAGCAATAACAACAGATGCTACTGGCCAAACTCAAGCTTCACTCTCTTAGCTTTATTCAAGTTGCATAAACATAGAACAGGTAGACAAATTCGCATCTAATGATATCTACAATGAATCATGAGAAACATTTTTCCTCATACGGCAACGAACAAATAGTTATATATATCGCAGAACACTGCTTTTATCGAATATATGCATTTCTATTACAGATGCATCCCCAAACGCATGTAGATCTATTCCTTTCGGGCTCTTTCATGCAGACTGTGTATATCTTCGGTAATCTGCCATTTGAATAGCTGTTTAAGACCCTCCAGCCAATGAATAAGCCTGGAATAGATCCCACTGCAACCCCATCTGTCATTGCTCTTGAGGTGTTGGACAACAGTAGAGGGCGTCCATAAGCGGCAGGCCTGAATAAGCATATCGAACAGAAATTAATTAAAAATACGCACACTGTTACTGCGCTTACACAACATACACTTTATTTATGTTAAATAACTACCGATTCATGCTCTATGCTTCGCTTGAAACTTTTGCCGGCTCTATGATGCGAATTTCTGCAAAGTTGTCTGAAGACATTTCAAACACAAAAATGACCAACAGGTCGATGTAGCTACGCCACCTGACGGAATGTCACGAACACACAATAAGACCAATTTTACTTCTAATGCTTTCTAGACGTCCACGAGGCATCTAACTTGTGGAATCTAGTGCCGAATTTCTGCGAAAAAATACCCTAAAAGGCCTTTTCTAGAGACGAAATAGTGCGGTGAACAATTTGCGGAGGCTTACTGTTGCACGCCTCCTTGAAATATGCATTTCGCAGTCATTGGGTATGGCATGAGAGATCCCAACGGGTCAAACAGTCTAGCAATACAGCTTAGCGACAGTGCGCTTAGTGACCACCAGATCAGGCGCCACATCTACTCCTTCAACATCTTCCTGCGCAATCAACTTACCCCAAGTATTTTACAGGGCTCAACGTCTGAATAACCACAATTTAGCGATTTGTTCATCATGTCAGTTACAACCCGACTGTTTGAGGACCATTTGGCAAAGACCATCACTGCCTTCTTCATCACATCTTGGGCCTAAATGAACATGGCGCAGGTTTATTCCTTACTGTCTGCGCCTGTTAGCCAATCATCGATATAGAAATTATCCGTTAGTTCCTCAATCACGGGCGTAGAGAGCAAAGACCCTAGATGATGGCTAATGGTAGCATTAAACAGGAAGGAGCTACTACTAACCCCAAATGTAATCCAACAGAAATGCATTTTCCGGATTAAACCAGCATCATTCCAAAGAAAGCGGTGAGCATTGAGATCTTCCCTACGTAACTGCACCTGTAAAAATGCTTTAGTGGTGTCAGCTGTCAAATCCACAGGCCAACGTCTGTAACACACATGGTACTTCCATAGGTATCAATGAGTGAGCAATCTCGGGGCAATAATTAAGGGAAACGCTATTAGATTCCTGTGTTGAGGCATCAAAAACAGGACGAACCTTCGTTGATGTGCAGCTTTCTTTCACGACTAGCGTATGGGGTAAGTAGATGATAGGCCAAAGTACAATCTGTTTCTCCTCAGGAACCTCTTCAATAACTCCATTTTGTTCCATCTCGTGTAGGGCGTCATAATACTGCCCAGCTAATGAGGTATCTCGGCTCAATTTAGAGAATAAGCTATTTAGACGGGTCTCTGCGTGCAACTCATTATGAGTAACGGGGTAATTCTGTGGTTTTATTCCATGGGAAAGCTACCTTATAGCGGCCATCAACAAACACAATCGTCTCGTTATTTCGTGTCATTATCTATGCACAATAGCGACAGTGGTTCTAAGCTACCAATGACTCCCGGCTGTCTATCAGACAGAACCAAACCAAATAAGGTTTCCATAAGAACTGGACCCTCGGGCAAGCGTTTCAGCCCGTCTTGCACCAGATCCCAGTAGTGGTTCGTACCTATTAAAATATATAGAGAGACCATCATCATCGAAATAGCTGTGGACAGCTAATTCGGTCTAACTTTATGAACCAATGCGCTAGCCACATATGAATGGTCAGAACCAGAATCAAACAACAAAGTTGCCTTTACAGGACCTCGCTCGACCTCGACGAGCACACACACTGTTTGCGGACCGGCACCTTTATGCATCTTATGTTCAGAGGAGGCCACACCCACATGTAACATATCGGCAGGCACTTTATCTATACCCACCGTGTGAGACTTTGCGTTCTCATCAGTCCTACTCAACAAACGGTGATGATACCTTTCCTTACGCTGAGCACATTTCTCCTTACAATCTCTAGCCACATGGCGCCACTAAAAAACAAACTGAAACAAGCAAAATAGAAACCCACATCTCGCGCCTTCTCTCGTCGCGCTTCTACAGTAAGACTTTCTAACTTGCGGGCATGACAATCACTCGTAGAATTGTAATTATTTTAATCCTCACTAACATCCCGGCCTCTTAAATGTGAAGCCTACACTGAACATTTACTTAAACTTTCAATTTGTACCCACAGTATTTACTGGTCAGACTGACCGGCCTAAACGCATAGTAACCAAAGTCATTACGTGACATTTTGTTGACGAAACGCAATCCTTAGCAGGGGTGTTTATTCCGGTATAAACTGAACTTTGTTTTTTTTTGGCTTTTTCATATATTCGCAACAGGCTGCAAATCTCGTCGCGTGACAGAAATGTTGCCACTCGGAAGCTAACCTGGCACGCAGTCATTTTATAAAGTGCCACGGAAGAATAATATAATAAAAGAATAAGAATAACCGAAAGCTCCACCAGTCATGTTGCGGACATCAGAGTGCAATGTCGGCTAGCAATAATTATTCCCCAATATATGGTTTTTGTTTAATCGTATCTACAATGCTATATCGCTAGAGTCTTAGCTATTCTTATCTATTCTATTTGTTGATGTTAGAGCGCTGCAACATCACTTGAAGTTCCCGTCCGGTCAATTTTATCCGAAATTGTTAAATGAATGTGGGTCTATAGGTGTCTGTGGGCGTGCGTGCACGCGTTAGCAAGCTACTGTTCATATACAACCAACTAAACCATATAACCGTAGACTTTCGTAATATTACAACCTTGCCCTTGGTGCAATATATTATGGTATCGAAAGTATTTTAATGATTGAAGCCAGGATTTTACTTATTATATATTATCTGTATACATGACATGTATTAACTAAAATGCATGCAATCTGTCAACATCACTTGAGACTAACATGTATCCAAATTTTAATATGTCGCTTTGCTAGGGATATTCTGCTGACACGAAATTTTGGTAAAAGCAAGAATACGATGTCGTATTACTTTTAAATTCGTCGTTTTAAACTCAAAACGCTGCTGCAAATATAATGAAACGTCATGAAGCCCAGCGTTTAATAGACACCAGAAATATATCCATATAGACGTATATATATATACGTACATGTCTCTTTGTCGCATAAGGGTAATTGGACCGTGATATAACCATGCGATGTAGAACATTTGTTCACGATTATCTACGCAGTTTTTACGAACTAATATAGAATGTATATCAAATAGAATTACAGAATTATAAACCGTAATATCATTCGGCACATAGAGGAGCACTGGTATGATATATAGTATATATATATATATATATATATATATATATATATATATATATATGTATAATATATATAGCCGTGCATTAATATACTTGAAGGGAAATGTCATATGTATGCCTACAGTGACGACCCAGCTAATTTTAGACGCTGTATCTACACGAGGTAAAATCCAGCACGAAGGTAATTTGCGACAGTACTATACAAACAGTAGCAAGATGTGAATATAATTGCTGATATCGACTAAAAGCTATAAAATTTAAATGTAAAGATCCTGTTTGTTTTCGGAGGTAGGCTATATAGATTTTATCTTTTGCTCGCTCGCTGTCGCGAACACGTAAATGATGCATCCGAGCGCCGTACTAGTCATCTGGCAGACGATGAGAGTGCCGCATCCGTGCGCTAATCAAACTCGCATGTCAACTCCCTGTATATGCGATGAGATTACGCGTCGTTATTAAAACATGAAGGCGATCACCGCGCGCGTGTACCGACGCGGCCGATCACACTCGCAGAAACTCGTCAATCAATCCCCGAGGCATTGTACAAATATTAATCACGCACACGACCGCGCGCAAGTGCGCGTTGGTGTTTGCGTAGGTGTTTGCGTTATCACGGACTGCGTGCCCGCCTCCGCTGTATAACACCCATGCGGCAAGCACCTGAAGCTTACGCAGAATTAACGCGCGTTATTTAGTCATGCTTCGCTTAAATCTATGCATGTAGGCAATCTACTCAAAATGCCAGGTAAATTATGGAGGGCACGCAATGCACAGTGGTTCATCGCCCCTGCATGCGGCATGCTGCATGCTGCATGCTGCATGCGGGGGCGGTATCAGCTTAGTCTGAGTTTTGTTTTTCGATCATCGAAACATCTGACTTAATTCCGTCGACCACGCCAGCATTAATTGCATGTGCAGTTTTTTTTACATAGGTCACGTGGGTGGAACAACAGATGAGCAAGATCAGGCAGAAGCGCGGCGGGCACGTGACGACAGAGAAGCGGAAACCTAAAGGGGGCTTCCGTGATCCGTTGTGGAGTCACCAATGGTACCTAGTGAGTATAAATGATTACCTGTCAATGCTGCAGTTGTCACGGCTGTCGTGGATAGATGTGCTCTCGGTCGGTAGGTCGGTAGGTCGGCCTATCGGTTGGTCGCTCGGCCACTCATCATATACCCCGTACAGACTGTAAAATTTGATCCCACAACAAACTAGTCCGGGCCAGGCCATGAGCAGGCGCGCGTTAAATCGTAGCGTACAGACACAAAATTCTGAAGCGTGCTAAGTAATTGTCACGGGTTGACTGTTTGTGCTCAGTTTAGCTTGTTACGTCACTTAGCAGAGAGCTACTGTACTTTTATGCGACCTAAATATACGGCTATGCGCATACGTATTGCGAAATGAAACGCGGAACTAGCCCGCGTTCGCGTACACACACAATTGAGCACGGCATAAGCGGTCTGGAAAGCTTCTTAAGCGGCTTGGCCCATCTCAATTTGTTTGCGGGGCCAGATTAATCCGGACTAACTGCAAAAATTTGGCCCGGGCCTGGCCCGGATTAGTTTGATGTGGTATCAAATTTGCAGTCTGTTCGCGGTACAGTAGGTTAGAACGTAATTACGTAGAGTATATTGCGCTGGATCTAAGAATTACGGACTAAAAGATGCCCGACAACAGTTCCCACCGCGCCGGTTCTCGCCATAAATCAGTGTTTCCCTATCAGCAATGACGTACGGCGAGCAAAGGGGCGCACTATACGCTGTACGCGATGAAAGCCGAACACAGGTCTGTTTCCATTTTAACCACTAATGGACACATTATTCCGAAGACACGCAAGTATTTTCCGTGAATTACACTAATGTATGTTTTCGTCGTGGATCTAATGAGGTACAATTTGGTATGAATTTTCAGCGTGAAAATCTTATTCTTCTTGATTTAATTCGTCAAGCACGAGTGATTTAGACTGCATCGCGTCTTCAAACATTGATAGTGCTCGTTCTGCATCAGACCTAAGCAAAAATACGACAGAAACATGTTTCTATTAATCGCGTCCATGTCATTTTTTTTATGTTGCGCACTTTCGCTTTCCTCTGTCTTCTCTCTCCATAGCCCCTCTTTCTATCACTGTACCTTGTTCTTCCTATATATCGATCAATCCGTCAAAATATCGTCTCAATCCGGTCGTCCATCCGTCCATTCATTCATGAAGTGATCTCTAATCTGAAACCTCCTCCCCACCCCATAGCTAAATTCCACTGCTGCAATGGAAAAGTAGAGAAGAAGGGAAGAAAGGGAAGAAAACGGAAGAAGATATATAACGTTAAGAAAAGGAAATGAGAAGCAAAAGCTATCCTGACACAATCGTGTCGTTTTCGGAATTTTTTTTTACGCGGCTGGGTATAGTAATAAAGGTTCTAAGACAAATACCCCCCGGACAATCACCTCCCGGACAATTACCCCTCGGACATTTACCCCCCGGACATTTACCCCCCGGACAATTACACCCCGGACAATTACCTCCGGACCATTACCCCTCGGACATTTACCCCCTGACAATTACCCACAGACAATTACCCCCCGGACATTTACCCCCGGACAATTACCCCCGGACATTTACCCCCCGGACAATGAGAAGGAGGAGATAGCGAGGGCCCAGGGTGTCGAGGAGGAGTAGGGGAAGGTTGCTGGCAGAAAGAACGTGAGAGGACGCAGATTACGTGGCAGCCGTAGCGAGCGTGAGAGAGGAGGAGCGAGGGAGGATGGGAGCGTGGAGGAGGATGGGGGAGAAGCGTGGGAAGAAAGGTGGGAGGAGGAGGAAGCAAGCAGAAGGCAGTGGAATGAGGTTAGAGAAGTAGAGGCGCCCTCCTCTATCTCATTCCCTCCCCACCTCCTCTCCTCCTTCTCTCCTCTCCTCTCCTCCACCTCATCTCCTCTTCTTCCTATTCCTCCTCCTTCTCCACCACCTTTCTTCCCTCCTCACCACCTCATCCTCTGCTACTCCTCCTTCTTTTTCCTCCTCCTCTCCTATCTCTCCTTCCACCCCTCCCCCTCCTCCTCTTCCCCTATTTTCTCCCCTTCCTCTTCCTCCACCACGGTTCCTCCCCACCACGTTCTCCCTCTTCCTCCCCACCTCCTCTCCCTCCTCCTCCTCCTCCTCCTCTTCCACCTCCTCTCCTCCTCTCTCCTCCTCCACCTCCTTCTCCCCCCCCCCCTTCTCCGCCCTCCCTTACCTCCACACCTTTCTTCTCTTTCTCCTCGACCTCCTGCCTGTATTCACTGTTCAACAATAAATAATAAACACAGTGACGTTTAATGTCCGCGGGGCGTAAATTCGGGGCGGTAATTATCCGGGGCGGGTTAAACTGTTCCTGGGGCGTAAATGCTCGGCAGATAATTGTCGGGGCCTAGTAATTGTCCGGTGGAATTGTCGGAGGTAATTATCCGAGGGCGCGTACATTGTCGCGGAAGTAAATGTCCGGAAGGTAATTGTCCGCGGCTCGTGAACGTACTCGGGGTAATTTGTCCGGGGGTAATTGATCGGGGGTAAATGTCGGCGGGCGTAATTGCTCCTGGGCGTTGATTTGCCGCGCGGGGTAATTGATCCGGGGGGATAATTGTCCGCGGCTAACAATGTCCGGGCGGGTATTGTCCTGGGGGTTGAATATGTCCGGGGGTAAAGTTTACGGAGGGTAAATGTCCGGGTGTAATTGTCCGGAGGGGTAATTGTCCGGGGGGGAGTGATTTAGTCCGGGAAGGGAATTGTCAGTGGCGGAAGGTGAATGGCACATGGCGGCTAAATGACATGCGGAGTAATTGTCGGGGGTGATCTTTCCGGGGGTATTTTGTCTTGATACCGTAATAAAGTATAGCCCTAACAAATCCCATGTACTGTGACTTTATACACTGAGATATATCACCCGGCGAGACAAGTTCAAACAGCAGCACGTAAAGATTCTTTCGTACTTCGACTTCGTTAAAGTCAATAGCACGTGTAATTGCCTCCTGTGTCCTTTCAGTCATTGAAAGAACCATTCCAGAATGCCGCCGGCGTAATTCACAAACTAAATACTGGGAAATAATGGCTATAGATCAGTTACGTATGCGCCCACAATCAATTGTTGAGGTCATGTATGTTTTCCACAGAAAATTAAGGGCCACTCCTCAATGATGACATAAAATAATTCTGAAAAATGCAGTGCGTGCGCATATTTGCCCGATGTATTAAAATATATCATGTGTATGACATAAATAATGAAAGATCATTATTACGTAGTACCGACGGACATGAAAAAAAACGTTCATCATTATTGTTAATATATATATATATATGTGTGTGTGTGTGCTGTGTGTGTGTGAGCTTGCTGTGT